GTAGTGACGATTCTAGCTCAAATTGAGCATAACTAAATAATGCTAGCAAGTACATGGCTAGCATACACGTTTTTGAAGAGGTTTACATACATAAAAACCTAATACTTTGCATAAAACTAAAAAAAAAAGTTTACTGAATTGAAGATAATATGTGTTCGGTAGTGACAATTCTTAAGGTTACACGCCAATTTTCAGATTTTGGAACAGATTTATATCAAAAGTATGGGATATAGCTACTTGCCATTCAACCATGAGGGACAGAGATGCAGTGCCGATGCATTGTCAAAAGTGCAGGGGTGTGGCTAAAAACCAGGCTCAGCCATTGGACTAAAACCCCTTGTGTTTCGGTAGTGACATGAAAACAGAGGACATGATTTTTTGAGTATAGTTTTTTTATTAAAAAATTAAAACCACAATAAATATAAATATCCCAACTTCTGTTTGAATGTAATCATAAAGATCTTCTAAATACACCATTCAACAAAATAAAATAAAATGTTTTAAGTGTTATTTACAGAACATGAAATGTAGATGTCAGGGTTGGGGACAGCTACTTCCCAATAGAAAGTACGATGTTTCTGTATATATTAAGCTTGTCACCATATAATTGAATGCCTTATGTTTAAATAGAACATAAAATATTCTTAGTAAATATCTGTCTGAATACTTAATTGTTTTTGTTAAAAAAAAAATTGTTGTTGTGGGACCGCACTTTGCATCAATTCGGTAGAATGCCCCATGTACGATAAACTTAAGGTCATATAACTAATATAACTGTCAAAAAGACACGATGTTATTCACACTCAATTAAGTGTTAAATGTAATATCAGATTGAACAGCATACCTTTCTTGGACTGTGCTCGGCAGCTCACTGCAGCCCCTTCTTCCATCTTTTATTCTGTCAAATACACCACATTGCGGTCCTCAGTGTTCACCTCTGATTTAATGTTTGACTCGGCAAACATCCAAAGTCAAAGTCCTGCCAACCCTACCAGTCATTTGACTCTGGAGAGATATATCAGTATCAGATATAATTATTACAAACCGCGAACACATTTCGAACAGTGTAATTACACTAAGTCGCCACTATATTAAATGCCATTTTCTGAGTTAAGTGTGTCTTTACTGTTCCATTTAATTTCCCAGTTTTTTATTTGTTTGAATCCCTGAACTCAGCTGGCCTTTGTTAGGGACAGGCCCTTTGTTTGGGACAGGCCCTTTAATTATCTAAGCACAAAACTCTAGCTCGAAATAGGTAGCCTACTATAATTATTAAAATACTTTAGTTTGTACCTGTGCTTTTCTCACAGATCTTAGTTTTTTGTATTTTTGTGCACCAATCAAAATGTCTGAAGACTTGAAATATTTCAGACTATTCTGATTTAAGAATAAAGATAAGAAGCATTTTATACATTACACTTTTAAGGAACAATAACAACTTTTTGTATTCCAAACTTAGCTTTGGTCTGTGTCTAGTCATGAATACATAATGTTGTACAGAAAAACAACTTACAACTAACTTCTCAGGGGGCTTTAATGAAAGCAAGTGAGGATATTTATGCAGCAAGTAGGCCTCAAGAGTAAAAGAATCACACTTTCGAGGCTTCCTTAGAACACCTTTTTATTCAGATTCAGAGTTAATGCCACAGCTGCTGTGGTGTCAGTCTGTAAAAGAGTCCCTGAGTCAGAAGTAACTCGGTTCAGTGACTTTGCAATAGTGCACATCATGCAAAAATTGACTGACTACTGTAAGAAACCATAACTAATTACAAAGTTGTAAAAACGCTTCATAAGCATCATCTGTGACTCCAGCCTTCTGTCTGTAGCTTTAATTAGAAAGAGGCATTGCTGAAGGCTTTCACAGCTCCAAACCTAAAGGGTGAGCCATTCTGGGCTCTAACATCTGCAGACCCCTTCCCAAACTGCAGGACCCCTTCCCAAACTGCAGGACCCCTTCCCAATCCGCAGGACCCCTCCCAAACTGCTCCCAGAGGCCAGCTGGCGTTACATCTCCTCCTGCTGTAGCATTTCCATCAGGGGTACATTTGGCCTGAATGCAAGGCCTTTAAAACAGCTATTGCAAAAAAACTGTCACTGCAATTTCTAAAATCATACTCATAATTTACATTATGTACATATGTTTACAGTCTCTCAACATCCAGTCACATTTCCATACAGCACACCCAAAATGTCCTCAGGACATTTTATGGACAACTTTTCAATGTTTTCCATTCAGAAAATCTACTTTAAAAGGAACAGCTCGTCCATCTTTACAATTTCTAGAAGTGAGAGGGACATTCATCAATCACCTTATGTACATATTTTCAGTTAACACAGTATGTAGAGACTAAAACAGAAATCCTTTACCAGCCGTGGGACAAATAAAATATTTTGTATTCAGTTGGTTCATACTCTCACACTGTATCTTAATGGAAACGTGTGGCGTGTCATGATGAATGAAGGAGGGTGGATGTGAACGTGTTGCCTTGATGGATGAGAGAAGATGGAGTGAGAAACATGAAGCAGGTTGTGTGTGGATTCAGCTCCAGACCCTTCCCCTGTCATGAAGCTATATTGTATCTGAACTGCTTTGCAAACACAAAAACTCACACAAATCCAAATAAGTCAAAAGAGTAAAAGTTGCTTTGTGATTAAATCCTTTAATATTCTTAAGTGCTTTAATTGAAGAAAACATAAAAATAGCCTTAGAAAACAAAGAAAAGCTGACGCAAGAGGTGCCACTAACTCAATTATCTCTGACACCACTTAAAGACTTTTTAAATCTCAATTTGTAATGTTATTTAATTCCATCGGAGACCTCAGAAAAAAGATAAACAACAACCTTGTGTTAAACTTCTGATCTGAATAAAAAAATTTTTTTCCAAATACTGATCAGGACTTCTCAGCATCTTTGAAATGAGACATATTTACTGAATGACAGAATGAGTTGGAATTCTGATCAGATCTCTTGAGGAAAAATATAGCAGGCCGTGATACTAAAGCTTTTAACAAATATTTGAGGTAAAGCAACTCAAATATCTCCTTGTAAAAAAATGTTGATTATGAACAGAGCTCTTTGTGCATAAGACCAGACTTTATCCAGTTGTTAAATCTTGAATGTTAGATTGTAGAAGAAGCAGCAGGGCAACTAATCCCAGCAAACTGCTTGCTATACCGGAGGACTGTTTTTCTTCACTACCACAGGGGCTCATTTAGCTTCTACATTTTCACACAAAAACTAAGCAGCAGTGTCTATTAAGGCTTGCATGAAATCTGTCTGGGTTGACATAACGCTACAGAGAGAGGACGTACACAAGGTATTGCTGCTGAGGAGTGACAAATTAAAACCAAAATAAATGATTAACACTACAGGTGGCACAGGAGGGGAAGGGAGAGAGAAAGAGAGAGAGAGCAGAACACAAAATATCCCCTCCATGTCTTGCTACCATTGTTTTGGTGAAGAAATCCACTAATTTTACTGCAGCAGCCAATGTTTAATTTGATGCAGTTTAATACCGATTTGTAAATTGTGAAATATTTAGAGCTGTGCACCGACATTGGCTACGATGTTGGGAGTAAAACAGAGCTGCCTGCCCATGGAGTGTAAGCAAGCAGCTTTGTTTCACTGACAAACGATGTACAGGAACGGGGACGCCCTTTAACGGACCAACAGCTTTTCACTTGAAAGAATAACAAGGGTTTTATTTGCTCATTGGCTTTGGTAATCAAACCCAACGAATCCACACAGCTCCTCCATGCCCTGTGATGGCAGGGAGAGGATGAGTATTCAGCCAGAGCGCAGAGGTAAGAGGTGGGTGCTGTTTTAAAGGGGTGGCGAATAAGCAATCCCTCGCCTGAGCAAGCTTGATTTAAGGCAAAGGTTAAAACATCAGTACTGCGACGCTACATGTAGACAGCTGATGACCTTTTCTGGATCGGGGATTGGTCGATTGAACTGCTTCAGTGTTTCGACTGGGTTTGCTGGTTGATTCAACGTCACATTTAGGGGGGAAGAAATCGTCAAAATGATGAAAAACAACATACATGCGATTTCCTGTTAAGCAAGTAAAATAAGAACAGGGATGGGAACATTAATAATAATGTGTCGGGGTGACTCCGTGTGTGTGTGTGTGTGTGTGTGTGTGTGTGTGTGTGTGTGTGTGTGTGTGTGTGTGTGTGTGTGTGTGTGATGCATGAGACCTGTTACAGATGGCAGGTGTCCTTGATGAGGACAGATTTCACAATGGGAGCCCTTGCTTGAGTTTTGCAGACACCAGCCTTTCCACGCAATCAAAATAAAGGATCAGTTCACCAACATCACAATTTGATGGAGAAAAAATAAGATTTTCCCACCTAACGATTGCAGTATCTAGCCCTGGAGATGATGTTGGACAATACAAGTGAGGTGATGTTGTTGGTGGTGCTTAAACTAATTAAAATATTGAAAAACTCAGGAGCAATGTCCCTCTCCAAAAACAGAAATGTGCTTACTACTTGGATGATCCAACAATATGGTCAGTTTTTCACTACCAACTTTGGATCATTTCTGAATATTTTCATCATTACCTAAGTAATAGACTTATATTCTGAAAGACACATTGCTGTTGAAGTTTTTCAAATGTACTTTGCAATGATTTGAGCAAAATGGACCTCCCTACATTGTATTGGATTGGCCCATACAATGAAAACTATCTGCATGGCTTGATACCTGGAGGTTAACAGGTTCTGTGATTCGGGTGAAATGACTCTTTAAGATAAAGCAGAACAGGCTGGGCCTCAAGGCACCGGTTCTGATTACAAGTCCCACTGGGCGAGGAAAAGAGTGATGTACGCTGCTGCAGAAACACACTGCCCCTCGGTGGTTAAGTTTAAAAAGATCAGATACAGATCGGCTTGTGGTCTTTGGGCAATAAGAATGAGCCCCTCCCTGATTGGCTGATGACTGACAGGAAGTGGAGAGCAGGAAATGTGACCTTAAACAGGTTAGGAGCTTAACCCCTGAGTGTTAGCGGGATCTTAAAGGACATGGATGAGGGATTAAGAAAGAAACAAGGGGAATATGGTGCTGCATCTCCCCCTCCTCATGTTCTGTACACCAGAGAGCGCGAAGCCCACACTGTCCATGCTCTCTCTCACTAGTGCCATTAGTATTTCTATCTCTGGGCTCTATTATGTTTTCACAGCTGGGTCTCCTCCCTAGCCTGCCAACTGACTCAACAGAAGGAGGAGAATGGAGGCGGGCAGGGGTTAGACGCCGCAGGGTGACCGCACACGGAGGAGGGTGACACTTTAGTTTTCTTTCTTGGCCTCCGGGTTGCCGTAACTGGAGCCTGTTTTCTTCACCTCGGTGACCCCTATGAGGCGGCGGATAGCTATCGAGGCTGGGGAGAGAACAGAGGAGAAGAGAGTGAGGACAGCGATTCTAAGATTAAACAACACGGTGCTTTTATTACTTCTCTTTCAGGTAAAGTCAGAGAGGCATTGCCTATTGCTCAGTCCACAAAAGGAAACGGCGTTGCTTCTACAGGCCACTGATGCAGAGTTTGCCTACCTATGATGAGGAAGATGATGAAGCCAATGATGAGGAGCGGGGAGCCACTGACAGCCACTCCATAAGCAAAGTTGATGAGGGGCGAAAGCAGCACGGTGGCCCAGAACAGGAAGTTCAGCAGCGTCCATGGCCGGCGTTTAGGAGTGATTGTGGGTCCGGGGAACTTGCCTTCCTTTTTGTAGCTTTCCTGTAAGGCATCCTGAGCCGGAGAGGAAGAAGAATTGGTTTGCACTTTATCATTTAATCATGCATGACATGTCGAGCATAGCTACCCATCTTATACATACATTAAACTCAATAGGCTGTAATACATGATGTGAATCAGAAAACCGCTTGTATTGTAACTACATATCTGAATGAAGCCGTGCATTATACATTTTGATTACTGAATCTGCCTTTAATGTTGGCTTTCTTCAGTTTACCTTCTCCTGGTAGAGCTTGTGCAGCCAGATGGCACACTCTTTCTCATCATCGGGTATGTCCTCTACCGGAAACCGCCTGGGTTGAAAAGAGAAAAACACAAGGCGTCTTAAACTGGGAGCAGTTGTTAAGATTCTTTAAACTTAGGATAAGTATTTGAGTATATCCAATATTTATAGAATCGTTTTTTCCCCCTGACAGTCAGAAATTGGATTTGCACACGGTCTCTTTTTTTCTACCTTCATTCATAATTTCCAATATCCACATTATCAACACCAGCAATCTGAAACGCACCTAACTTGTGATGTCTAAACCATAACTACAAATTGAACATCAAGTGTAATTTGTGTGCCCAGCAAAAGAAAATTTAAAATAAATCATGAACTACCACCTTAATAGTACCATTTGTAAATGAAAGAATACTGACACTATCCATAGGCACTGCAACCTCAAACAATAATGTTAAACATTTTTAACCAGATGCAGTTATCAAATCATAATATAATGGACAATAGGATTTAATGAAACATTTCATGGTCAAACTTGTCCTCTCAGAGTGCAGCAGAAAATATTTCATGTTAATAAAACAAATGACTTGTGGCCTGTTGTGGCAGTTCCTCCCCACCAGGTGGCTCCCTCACATTACACTTTCACTGCACCATAGATCATCTATTTTGGTGCTGGGGGATTTCTTTAAACACTTGTATGTTTAACTGACTCCGGTCTAGTCAACCATGTTAGTAAAAAGATATTTAAACATTCCTTTATTTAATTGAGTTAAAGAAGAAACAGTTTGCTTTTTAATATAGTTTTGCAGTTCAGGCAAGGAGACAAAAGACCCTCTTCCCTCAGCCTTTTCAGCGTGAGCTATCGGTCAGCTCTTCACTCAGTAGGATTCTCCTTCCAATTACAGTTATTGTTCTGAAACCATAAACTTACTGGGAAACCAGCCAACATTTTTCAGGGCTCTCACTGTGTGTTTCATTGTTAGAGGACAAAAAGGCAGTCAGTAGGGGGCCCAAACGTTTGGAAAAGACTCATCATTTCCAGTTGAAAAATAAATGTAATAGATCATTATAATGATGAATGATTATTAAAAATGGTACCTGCGACACTCACCTTACACTCAGGTCAGCTTTGTATTTCTTGCCGCTGACGATGCCCAGGAGAGTGGGGGTTTGGTTGTCTTTGAAGTTGAGAGTCACATCATACACAGCAGTTACTGTGAGAGAGGAGAACACAGATTTTGAATAAAAGTCTTGTGTGAATCCAGCGTGACAAACTGTGTGTTATTGTTCACACTACCTGTGCCCTTAAGACACTGCAGGGTGGTGGTGAATCCTTTGGTTCGGGGCAGTAGGTGGTATTTGAGCTTGGGCAGGCCTTTACTCTCTGCAACCTGCATACTGATTTGGTGCTTGGCCTCTGTGAAGCGGGTGCCCTCGCAATACAGCAGAAACTGTGGAGAGAAAAGAGCTGTGTTAACTCATGCAGACACCTATAAAAACAAATTACCCACTGGGGGTGACCCATTTTCTCTTGTCCCATTCTTTCATTTAATCTTACATTCTGTTCTTGTATATCTTATTCTATTTACATGTGCATAGGATCCTGCATTTACGTGGTCACTTTCAACATTCTCTGCATCATTTAGCTTATTGTATTAATTTTTTTATTTTGTCTTATGTCCTATACATAATAGGTTGCATTGTTGGAGGTGTTTGGGACTTAAGATTGTCATTGCCATAACTACACTGTGGCTACTGTGCACATGACGATAAAACCCTTGAATCTTTTACCTACTTCTGCTTGGTTACAGATGTAGTTCACCTCAGTGTAACAAAATGCTGAAATAAAGTCAACATCTTATCTCAATAGGCAGGTGGATGTTAACTGTACCTAAGGGTGGTTGCAAATAACATCACTGTCGTTATCGCTTAATGTAGTCCAGTCTAGTGTCAAAAAGAGAAAATGTCCTTCCCAGTCTGTTTTGACAAGTCCAAAACGCAAAGATATTGAATTGAATGTAAAATAAAGAAAAGGCTGATAATATTCATATTTGAGAGGCTCCAACAGTTTCGCAATAAAATAAAATATGATTAAACAATTATCAAAATAGTTGGCGATGATATCTCAATCTGACGCTTTATGGGTTTGCCGACTAATTGCCCTGGTGTTTACTTAATCTGGACACAAAAGCTGTCATGAGAAGTAGCCTAATGCCGGATTTGAGGGGTAATTAGATCAACAGCTGATCTGCCTAATCTCAGCAGGTGAACTGGTTGAGTCATGATGAATATCTGTAACAAGATGCTGAACCAGGGGCCATGAATGTAGGCCACTTGCACGTTCAAACGGTTTTTCCTCAGAAAGCAGAGTGAAAGCCTCCTCAGGCTGTTTGTGCACAGTGGAAAGCCCGGTTCAGTAAGTTTCACAGAGAAAAAAAACACACATCCAGCTGGTGCACTCAGAGTGGTAACCTCCTCTGATGTATCTTCCTACACTAAGAGAGACTGGGTCAAAGGGCATCATCTAGATTTTGTATATGCAGAGTATTTTCTTCCAATGAAAACTAAAGAATACTTAAGACATTTATTTATGACATTTCTGTTTATCAAAATGTGGATCTTTTTGTTTTTGTTTTACTGTTGTCACTATTGGTAGTAATACCACTGTTATCAGCTGAGATCTGGGAAGCTGTCACACAATAGTGCAGGTTTGAGTTTTGACCCACACACATTGCACACATACTGATCTAATATGTGTTACTTCCCCCATGAAATGTATCTGATGAAAATGGAAATTGATGTGTGATTTATTTCGTATTGCATTTTGGAGATGGAGATATTTCCCAAAATAATTTTTGTGTATGTTTGACTGAACATTTTATGTTGAATATTTTAGTATATTATTTCTCAGTCCTGATTCTACAAAGTTTAAGGTATTCTATATAGTTTGTTCAATGTTATCTGACTCTCTAAGTATGATGAAAGGCAGACCTGTGTTGTTAGAGTTGTTCACGAGTGGCTTATATTTAGTTACATTGCGATTTGAAAAATAAAGATAATTGTTATACAACAGCGTATTTGTATATTTTTCTACGTTTAAAACATTTCAGAATGGAGTATTGGTATATTCAAATTATCCAATCTGTCCCTCATTGAAAAATGTTTGGACCCCCCCTGGCTTATAGGTTGGGTTTACGGTTGACCTTTGACCTGCTATACTTGCGCTAATACATTTTTTCTGACCCATAAGGGATTATTACTCAACGCATGTTATAACACTGCCTTACTTAGTTTTAGCAATTTCATATTCAGGTATAATAAAATCTAATGTTTCCTTTAGATAATTCAAACACCCTATCCTATATTTTACGGAGATGATTAACTCGAGTATTTACATGTCTTTTTCTAAGAGGAATGTTTTGAGACTGGGCTAGAGTTCACTGATTGCACAAGCATATGATGTGGTATTTATGCAATTGAGTGTGTTGTAACATGGAATGGCTTCTAAGGCCACGTTTACACGGAGACGAAAACGAACCTTAGTCGATATCAAAAAGGTCTTCCGTCCACACGGAATCGGCTCAAGATACGTGTCCTTCCACACGAGACCGCTCGACCCGGTGGAGACGCTGTAGTACATATACCGGGTGGTGCCACAAAATACACCAAAAGCAACGAAGAAGACCCCCCGAGCATGGTTGCCATGGTTGCCCTTCTGTTTATTCTCCGCGATGGATTTAGAAACATGTAGTTCATGTAGTTCTCCATGTCCACTTGTTGCTGATGGTTGTGGTAGAGGAGCTGTAGATTTTGCACTAACATCTGTAGCATGGTCAGTAGCAGTAGCTACTGACAGTAGCTGCTGACCATGCTACAGCAGTGAGAAGGAGAGGTGGGGAGAGGCGGGGCTGTGGCTTCATCGTTATCAAGGAAAATTATTGTATAGGACGTCGTACACACGGAGCGTTTCGTCCCCC